TTGCAAAGAGTACACTTCGGTGAAAATGTTCCTTAATTAATACTGAGTTAACAACTGTGTCGCTGGTAACACTAGTGTCAAATGAGCATAATAATGTTGTTAGGGCTGTAAATTTTATCCAATGATTAGCTAAATAACCCTACAAAGCAAAGAAAACTGGTAGTGCTGAAGTAGAATTTAGGTTCAATATCACATTTTACATAGTTTAGACAGATTTAGTTTGGAGGACTTCTGAATTGCGACAGGCTTTTTAAATAAACTATTCGTATCAAGTGCTCATTTATTTTTGTCAGCCTAATTTTAGTTTCAACAATTATTTTGCCGTCAGTATCATCAAGGACGTAAGAGATTTAATGTTTTGAGGATAACATGAAATGAATCCTTTATCTTTAATCAGGATGTCCTAGTAACAAACGAGGGGCTAATACTGCTGCTTCTTAAAATCCTTCATTTTCTGTCTGCCCTCAAAGGGTTTATACAGGTAAACTGTTAACCCTGAAAAAGACAGCTTGCATTATTTGAATGCTGGTTCCAGCCAGAAGATTAAAAATGCTCATATAATTTAAGCATCAATGAAGACGAATCAGGATCTGAGGTTTATCCACTGAATCTTAGGATTGCTTAGAATCCACAGTTGCGGATGAATGCAATATTTAAGTGTGATAACGGTAGGTGTGTGTGTGTGTGTGTTTTCCATTTTGATGAAAGAATTAGTAATATTTACACTAATACAGAAAATAAGTTGATCCATGGGAAGTCTTCCACATGTTATTTAGGAGATTCCAATGCACTGTTTATAGCTCTATCACATTTCCAATAATTGCAAACGTTTTTTTTTTTCTCTAGCAGACTGGGGAGGGAGGTGGTGTAACACACAGGGTCGCCATGAGTGGGAATCGATTCAAAGGCAATGGGTTCGTTTTTTTTCATTATGGTATTTCATCACCTTTCCCCAATGCTATGCGTATGTTGGGTCTTGCAATGCAAGTGGTTGGGAGACGGGATGACCATCTGAAACTGGAAGCAGGTGGAGCAATAATCATGCATTCTCTGTCATTTGGACCACTGCCACCTACCAGGCACAATGGACATCCTGACAGCAAGACCCGTCAGCAGCTATCAGCTCATCCCACATATAACCTGATGGCTTAGACATGATACAGGACTGCATCCTGTGATGAGTCTTCGCCTCAAGAAATGTTCAGTACATCTAGAGTAGGATTGCTCCCTAAGCTGAATATTTAGCAGCTTTCTCCCTAGGGGCAATGTGTGACTCTTAAAAATATACACTTTCCAAAGTTAAGTACCAAAACAGAGCTAATGCATTTGATAAAGTCCCATGTCACATTTCACCTTTTAATGCTCATTATGGACATCACATCAGCCTCTGCCGTTTGAAAGAAGACGAGGGGAAATACAGAAGGTGCACGTTACCTGAGAGCTGAAATCCATCCGTGAATATGGAAAAGCAGAGAGAAAAGGAGGGAGAGCTGGAGAGGAAACTGAATAATAATAAGAGTAACGTGTACTGATCTAAGAAACATGCCAGGAGTTTGGTTCTGATAAATAAGAAAAGCAGGAGTAGATTTGAAACATTCGTTTCCCTTTATTAGCTCAGTGAGGCTGATGTGTACTGCACATTTAAAAAAAAAAATCACATAAATTTTCATACAATGAATAAAACCACAACAATACATGTAGAATTGGCAGGTGGAAAAAAAAAGCCCGGCAAGGGCTCAACTAATTGCTCACTTTCCCTGTTCAGCATAGTTCAACCAACAGTATTACACTTTCACCTACACACCTTAAAGTAGCTCCACCAAATCAGCAGTTCACATTATTGAAAATGTCTGTCACATAGGTACAAATTTAGAATCATCACATTATATTACATGGCTATTCTAGGTCATCTATAGATCAGGTCTTAGACTACAGTGATTGAAGTTCTCGTCACAGCCATCAAAAAAGGACACATAATCATTACCTACTGTAAGCTCACATCTAAAGGTATGAAAAGGTTTCCTTTTTTCAACTGACCCAACCATCATACCCAAATAGTGCAAAGTTCCCTCTCTGTTGCTCTGAATGTTGACAACCCAACCATTGTTCTCAGAGTCGTTTAGCAAAAAAATTGATTCTGTTGCACTGGAAGAATTATTCTGCTACATCTCTTTAAAAAAATAAAAATAAAACCCCACATTTCAAAAGCACCAGTTCAGTTACCAAAATTGTTGGTGTGGTACTTACCACAGCATGAAGATAATGGCCCACAGTCATCTAAAAATCCTACAGATCTATGCTGAAATTTGCCTCCAGTGAGGATGGGATGCATGTGTTAATTTGAAATATTCTCTTCCAAAAAAAAAAATAATAATAATAAATACATAAAATAAAAAGAACACAGTTTACATTTTGATGGGCTACCCACAGTGTCTGCATAAAATACAAAAGCTCTGTTCTGATGATTTAGTGATTCTTTCTTTGCACTAATTTTAGATGCAGTTTGAAGTCCACGGAGGAAAACTATCTTCATGGTAACAATATTTGTCAGGCCAGAGCAGGGAGAAATTAATCCTCAACATGAATTCAGTAGTGCTTTCTTTTGATAAATAAGGAAAGAAACCAAGTCTTTTACTCATGTTAGCAATCCAGGGCAAAAAAGAGAATGTATTTAAAATTGGATCACAAAAAATTTAAAGGCAAAATAGATAACACATCTGGTCCTTGAACACATGATTTACTAAATATTGATTTCTTAAAAATAATTTATTGCTCTTAATAGTCTTTTTTATTATTATTATTCTACAACAGAAGATATTCAAACTTCAGAAAGAAAGACTGTAAACTTTAGTTTGGCGTTCACACAGAGTTAAAATACCTGCATTTAACCTACAGAACAACAAGAATTAGGCGGATTAAAGATGTGTTACCGTCGTAACGCAGAACCTGTGAACAAGTTCTTTTTTATTTTATAATATTTTTATTGCTTTCTATCTACTTAGAAATAAGAAGCCAAAAAATCAAGCAAGCATCCGACAGGACAGACAGTGGATTCAGTCAGAACACAATATGCTGGTGATAACTGAGTGCAGCTATCAAAATTAGCTGCATTGGCCTGGGGGTGAAATCCGGTTTCTAAGATTGCGTTGGGCGAGAGAAAGGAAAAGAACGATTAAGTAGTAGATCTACCATGTCTTCCAAGTCATGTCTGCCAAACAGTGATCGAATCTCAATTTAGAAATGTGAATACACAGTCCAAACTTTACTGACTTCCGTTCCAGGGACTCCACACTCAGAAGAAATCCTGATGCTCAAAATGGAGGTTTTTCGTTTTTTTTTTTTTTTTTGATTTTTTTTTTATTATTGAATTTAGCAGAAGCAATGTCATCAAGAACAACATCATGGTCACATCAGAGGCCATGCTAGTGCAAGTAGAAACACTGCTTCTGCAAAAGCTGAATTTTTCCCAAATGAAGCACTTAAACTCCAACCTGACAATTGCCATGCATCCTAGGTAGAAAATTTCCACTGGCTTTATTATTTTCATCATCTCATAATTTATAATAAATAGGCTATCTGCAACTGATAAATATGTCTCTTTAGTAAACAAAGGAATGAAATATCAGTATTTATACAGGATGCATAACTGTAAAAAATACAGATAAATACCATCATCATAGTCTGCCAAGGGAAAGAGATACTGGCTTCAAAGATAATCTTCAGACACACATTAATTATTGTAAAAATCATACTGTAATTATTACCTCAGCATTTTGTATCAAATTAAAATCACAAAAATTAAAACAAAACAGCATTTTTAAAAAGATTTTTGACCTCTAGTTTCAAAACTACTGTTGATAGAGAAAATAAAAACATTTCTTAATGGTTACCCATTGAGAGACTTTACATAAAATCATGATATCGTCTAGAAAAATTTTAGATGAGAAAATTTTCATTCCCCTAACAAATCCAGTGTATAAAACTTCAAAGAAAAACAAGCAACAAGAAAATGTGGAAAAATATCGCAGAAGTGGTTAATACCTTTAGGGGACTAGGATATTTCTTGACAAGATGCTTAGATTGAAGCTCACCTAAGAAGAGATGGATTGCGTAAAGCATCATTTTGTTGTTGTTGCACTCAACGGACACACACACACTGTCTTTTTTTTTACAATCAAATATATATAAGCAATAACTTCAGCTTCTAAATATGTTAGTGTACAATAATTGTTTCACCTCATAATTACAGTTGAATATTCTTGATTAAGAAAAATTTAGCAGTTTTGAAAAGAAGGCTGCATTTACAGTGCATAGCTGTAACAAAAAAAGAACATCGTTGTATAGTATGTACACAAAATAAAAATACTCCATTTAACATCTGTAAATACTTAACTACATCAGAGAATGTAGCAATTACACTCTCTGAACACCTCCCAGAGAGTTCTACCCAACTCTCATTAGTAATGTAACACCGCGTACACCCCTCAGAAAGAACCGCCGAACAAGCTGTACGCTTGACCATTGAAAAGGCTTTTTGACATTTGCAGTGGAAGATCAACATTTTGGACGTTTACATGGGTGTCAGGATAAAGGACGAACTACAGAAACTTCAAAATGTTAGGAAAGTTTTAGCATTTTGGTGCCCATGGTATCCTCTCCCACCCAGACTCCATGGCAAACGGAAAGTAAGAAAAAAGGCGGGGAAAAGAGAAAGAGAGAGACAGGATATTAGTTCTACGGAAACTGTGGTTTCTTCGGGATTGTCATATAATCATCGCGTGACAAGAGACGCTTGCTTCAAGTTGATTTTGCACTTTCTTAAAAACAGAGTACGGTGGCCGATGCTCAGACATCAGCGGCTGTCATTTTAGGGCGGTTTGTGGTTGGTTGGTTAGTTTTCTTTCCTTTTTAATTTATATATATGTATATTTTTCCTTTTGAATAGAACATGAACCTTTTTAAGTTCTAGGTTTTAAGTGTGTCTTCATGGAACTGCTGCCATTTGAAGTGGTTTGCCCTTGCACACTGTTGTCAGGTGTCCCTAATCCCCACCTGTATACACACATACTCCCCCTAAACCAGGCGCGCACACACACACACGCACACACACTCCATTACCAAGAGACTCCAGGGAAAGCAAAGCTGACACCCATGAATAAACATGTGCTTACTGGATATCCACACTGTCTCTTTCCTCTTCAGCAGCTGTGTTCGTGTAAACCATTGTTTGTTGTTGTTTTGTTTTGTTTTGTTTTTGTACAGAGTGTAAAGTAGGAGAAATTCCTAAGTATGACTTCCAATAGTCTGTTAGGGAAGGACACGCTGTCCCGTGAGGTATTCACCATGCCTCTGTCATCCTCAGCCAGGGAACATGTTACCTGCGCAAGCTTCTCTGAGCCTCTTTCAGTAAACTATCAAAATCCAGAGAGTCATACTTGCTCTTGGTGGAAGCAGGGTCAAAGTCATCTGAGTTTGAATCTGAAAGAAACCAAACAGGTTAGATGCATCTTTTGCTGATGGTCATTGATTCAATCATTCCAATTCAAGATTAGCTGGTTCATTAGCAATTTATCCCATCAATGTATTTTAAAAAAGAATGCCCAACTTTTACGGATACGGTACCAATAATTTTTTACTCATCTATTGACTCATTTTAGACTTGTGAGAAACGCTTGTGAGAAGTAGGCAGAACAGACTTGATTTCTTCATTTTATAGATAAGGCCCTCCCCTCTCCTCCACCCCCAACCTAGGCACATTAAATGACTCGCTGGAGGTTTTTCAATAACTTACAAGCAGATATAAGAGTAGAAGCTGGAACTAATTTTCCTATTCAATGAGATTGATTTCACTGAGCAGAAACACTAGTTGAGTGAGATTTCCTCCATTCCCCACTCTGCTGCTCCCTTTTAAGGCAGGAGGGACATATGATGCAGTCATCCACCAGGGTTTCTCTGGCGACTCCGGTAACAGCAGTGCAAACTCACCTCAGTTTAGAAGGTCTAGGGAAATACCTCATGTACAACCAAACACCAAACCAAACCAGTTGCTGTTGAGTCAGTTCGACTTATGGTGACCCCATGAGAGCAAAGTAGAACTGCACTCCAAGGATTTTCAAGCCTGTCACCTTTTGGAAGCAGACTGCTAGACCTTTCTTCTGAGGCACATCTGGTTGGGTTCCAACCACCTATCTTCTGGTTAGTAGTCAAGCGCTTAGCCATTTGCACCAGCCAGAGATTCCTACCTAATGTCCAAATCAAAAAAAAAACAAACCACTTTCCATTGAGACAATTCTGACTCATGGCAACCCCATGTGTGCAGAGTATAACTGTGTTCCATAGGATTTACAAGGCTGTGACCTTTCATAAGCAGATCACCAGGCCTTTCTTTCAAGGCATCTCTGGGTGGGTTTGAACTGCCAGCCTTTCAGTTGGTAGTCAAGCACTTAACCATTTGTGCCACCCAGGCTGCCTGTCTCATGTCCAGAGAGGATATATTCAGCCTCTTTATTTAATCATAGGAGAGGAAAACTACACAGGTACAAATAATTTTTTTTTGCGGGGGGGGGAGGTCCTTAAACTAGTCCAAGTAAGCTTTCATTAACTTCTGTGGGAAGTTCCACATATCATTTCAAATAGACCTTAACAAAATAGATATGTTTTTGCAATGTTGACTGTGAAGTGGAATTCTGTTAAATATTTCTGATTTTTCTCCATTGCCATCTGTCTTAGTCATCTAGTGCTGCTGTAACAGAAATACCACAAGTGGATGGCTTTAACAAAGAGAAGTTTATTTTCTCACAGTCTAGTAGGCTACGAGTCCAAATTCAGGGCATCAGCTCCAGGAGAAGGCTTTCTCTCTCTGTTGGCCTGGAGGAAGGTCCTTGTGATGCATCAGTCTTCCCTTGGTCTGGGAGCATCTCAGTGCAGGAACCTCAGGTCAGAAGGACGTGCTCTGCTCCTGGCACTGATTTCTTGGTGGTACGAGGTTTCCATGTCTCTCTGCTTGCTTCTCTCTTTTATATCTCAAAAGAGATTGGCTTAAAACACTATCTAATCTTTAGGTTTCATCAATATAACCGCCGCTCATCCATTTTATTACATCATAGTGATAGGATTTACAACATATAGGAAAATCACCTCAGATTACAAAATGGTAGACAATTATACAATACTGGGAATCATGACCTAGCCAAGTTGGCAGACATTTTGGGGGGACACAGTTCAATCCACGACACCATCTATGAAAAAATTGGATATTTCTATGGTTTGGCAAAGGGAGAAAGGGTTCCCTTGGGAATATAATGGAATACTTGGGAATATAATAGAAAGACTCTTGCAAATACACTCCTTTGAAAGCACTTATCTGAAGAGGAAACAGAGATGCAGGGGAAACAAAATCTTTCTGATAAAAAATTAACAAGCCTACTAAAAGATGAACACTCTCATGTTTTACCCAGAATAAGCTATGAAATAGAAGTGTTCAAAGTGACAGAAGAGTTTAATACTAGATATTCTGGAGGCTTAATCATTGACCTCACAAGCTGTTTTGCTGAAGAGGTTGCAATCTCTCAAGATCTCCAGCACAGGGCTGATTTTTTTTCCCCCCTAGCTTCAATACTTTAACCAACTTTGATTTAAAGACAAGGAAATCCCTCCACTTATTTATCTATTTTCCTTCACCCTTACAATCCCTTTTCTTCACTGAGTTTTTCAGGAAGAACAACAACAAATATTACAGGCTGCTTCACACATTAAAGCAAAGACAGAAATGGCTAATATTTCCTCATTAATATCTTAGATGCTCAATTCTTAAAGTACACTTGCTTTGACCTGTCCCTTCATAGGCTAATGAATGGTTTACCAGTAATACTAAGGTCTTATGAGCAGCTGTTGCTCAAATGAAAATCCTTTTCTAAGCATTAAAAAAAAAAAAAAAAAAGTCCTAGTCATTGCTAGAGATTAGCCTACAATCAGATTTCCACTGGTTTTGTGGACCAAGAAGTAAGATGCTCCATGTGAGGACAGTCTGTCTGACAAAAGGTCAGCATGGGACCATCTAGAATACACATTCAGATCATCTCTTCCTTGGAGGAAATTTTAAAAATATTTGGATTATTCTAAATGTAGCCCAGAATTTCCATGTTTCAGTATTTTCTTTTGCAAAGACTAAAATTATTTGAGAACAGTGGTTCTCAAGAGTGGCTTCATTGTGAAATACGATGGCTGGTGTTCACAAATAGACCTATTTTCAGACAAATATACCCTATGTCACATAGTAGGTACCCACACAACCTTTTTGGTTTCATGAAAATAGAATGTGGTTACATGCAATTCCTGAGGCAGTAATATCAATTCCATTCCTTTCCCTCCCATTAAATTAACATATTGAAACAAAAGTAAGAGAGCAGAAATTTTTCATAGGAACAACCTTCTTTATTAAAATAATAACTAAATAACTAT